TTCTTCTGGTTACTATCTTTTTCTTCCTCTTCCTTGCTATCACTGGCATATTTTCATAATCCTCAACCTGCAGTAAAAACTCCTAATATGTAGCACAGGGAGTCGTGGTCGCCATGGAACACCATTTCTTTCTAGTACCCAATCTAAAACAGCGAAGCATCTCTACAAGATTTACAGCAATCTCAGGGCAATAATGAGATAAATCAGTGAACTTCCGATAATACTCATTAGCTGACATCTTTCCTTGATTTACAGCAATCTCAGGACAAATCTTTTCTGGAATAACTGCTTAAAAATCTCCCAATCTGCAGCTTCCTCTGGTGACAACTAAAGAGATTCCTACCTCCACCAGGTTGCAGGCTCCTCACCCAAAAACCAAGTGGTCATCTTGACCCATCAATCCTCAGGAAGATTTCCCTGTCTCTGCATCAATCGAAAAGTTTTCTCGATGTGATTGAGCCAATGCTCGGCTCCTTTAGGCCCCTCCGTACCCATAAAATTATTCAACTTTAGATTATACACAATCTCCAAGGGAGTCCTTTGGGGAGGACGAAGCGAAGACTAAATGGCATTGGCAATTGCTTCCCCAAGTTGAGTAATATCGGGGGAACTAGACTTAGCTGAAGTACGTGGCTCTCTACGAGGTGGCATGGTTTTGACAGAAAACACCAAAATAATTAAAATACTCACAAAATATGCAAGACTGCCAAACCTAGGCTCTGATACCAAACTGACACACCCTGACCCAAATCGAGGCGTGCTGGCCGTCACGTGAGGGTGACGTAGCCATGTGCGCGGTGCGGAAGTGATAGTGATATAAAAATGCGAGTCAATTAAAACAAAACTAAATTACACTATACTAATATATAAGTGCGAGTGAAGATATTTAAGTATAGTTACACTTATTTAGAGCGTAGGTAACCTAAGTGCAGTCCAGCAGGTCAAATACTAATTATACAATACCAGATAGATGTTCTTCATTATTTATAGTCTGTCAGAACCGCCGCCGACTCCTCGTAAGCCACCATGAAACACGCAGGGGCGCAAAACAGAAAGTGTGAGTGGGCAAAAACAAAGCTTTTCGAAACCATTTCTCTTTCCAAAAGTAATAACCCCTCGTCGTAAAACCCGTATAATTTCCCAGAAACTAGCATACGTACATATACAGAAACCATACTCGAAAATAGTGAAATCCCAACATATGTCATGTCAAATATCTCAACATAATAAATAATTAGGGCAGGTGAAGTAAATCAATGAAAAGTAATATGCTAGCCGGATCCACCTAGTGTGGCCTGTACGGCTGAACCTATAGCTCATCAAGTATGCCTGCACACGAGTCGGAACCACCTAGTGTGGTCTGTACGACAGGGCTAGGTGTAGTAAGTACGCTCAAATGCTAAGATCACGTAAAGGTTGTGCGATAAATCGCGGGTCACCTCCTAATCAGAACCACCTATTGTGGTCTATACGACAGAGCTATGCACCAAACTTGGATCCAAGGTGAGCTTGTGGTGAGGGAGGTGAACATCACGTGAAAGACTGTGCCCTGGCCACGGGCGGGAGCACTAACACCGAGGTGCAAGTTTATGAGCTCTAAATGCATCTCAGCATAATCATACACATTACAATCACTACCATCAATATTTACTCACATGATGCTTACCTGAGCATCCGCAGCGTCAAGCAACAATATGCATAACTATACTAATGCATATTCTAAAATGTAATGCAAATAACATGGCATTTAAAATGTAAAACCATTTAAAACAATTTCTGGGAAAACGTAAAGCATATATACGTATATATATAAAACCAAAAGCCCACTCACTGGTATGTGGCAGGGTTGTAACTCCCGTGTCTCATCTGACTGCACTCGTCCTCCAGAAACGTCTCACCTATATGTGAAACAACTATTTTAACGTTAATTTAAGCACGTAACCAAAACTATGTAATAATTTCTCATACGTTGCTCAACTGGGGTGTTTGAATATACCATTATGGCCTACTCAACAACACGAACATTCCCATATTTTTAGAATAAATTTTCGATGTCTCACGTGCCGGCCAAGGAACGACCACACGCGCAGGCATATGCCTAGCACACGAACAAAATCTTTAACGCCATTAAAGAATATTCCACTAAATAATAGAATATTCCGTTAAATATACCTAACGCCGTTAGGTATATTCCATCAATGACGGAATATTCGCCTTCTTCTCTGGTTGTTCACTGGATTCCCTCGCTGGCCGCCGTCTGTGTCACCGGAAACTGGAAAATCTGTAAACCTTAATATCTTCTTCATTTTTCAACCAAATTTCATAAAATTTATACCAAAATGAAGCTCTAAATGAGTAGAACATGTTCTTACCACTTTAAAGTCCTAAAACTCACAGAAAATAGTTGGAGAATTCCTTGATAGTTCGGTCAAAACTGCAACTCGAGGAACTAACCTATCCCGACCTCAAAAACCTTCCAAAACTTTTTTATGATCTTTGTGAAGTTGTTTTAAGACTCCCTTGAGCTTTGAAACTCCGTGAAACGCCCACGATCATGACAGAGTTGCAGAGCACCTTGCTGGAGCTCACTAGTTCCCGAGGTCCTTTCTCTAAACTAATGGTATGACTGTGTTCCTGGACTTGCAAGGAATTCGAAAATGGCCTCCACTAACTCAATCTGTGTAGGATGAAGCTGGTCAATTGTATGGATGTATGGACTATATGGACGAGGGAAGGATCTCGAGAGAGGGTGAAGGTATGTACGTGCGTGTACGTGTGTGCGTGTGGTCCGAATTGGGTATATATAAAAAATCTTAGGCCCTAATTGGGCTACCAAGTCTAGAGCTAAAATTAATCCAAAACAACCCCATTCCCAATTGGATCCAAGGAAATAGGAAGTGAAATAATTGGTCCATTTTCTTGGCACGCTTGTACATTCACAATACATCGTTTCAAGGGCAAAATCATCATTTCCACATTTTCAAGGACAAGATATATTTTAACGGGACGGGTCGTCACTCGTCTACAGAACGTATACAAGGGTATGATCATCCTAGGCTAGGTCCCTCGTTAAAACCTAGCTAAGTAGCAAAAACTAAAGGGAAAATGCCCTTACTCGTAGGAAAAAGAGTACATTAAGGTCAAGTAAGTATGCTTCAGAATACCCCCCAAAGTTGCAAATCAGAAAATTAGGCATACCAATTCATTGAACATCACATGCTTCTGGAAAGTAGACTTCAACAGTGACTTGGTGAAGCGGTCAGCTAAGTTGTCATGGGATCGGATTTGTTTAACTTCAATCTTTTGTCGTTTTTGTTGCTGATGGGGAAAGAATAACTTCAGCGCAATATGCTTGGTGTTCTCTCATTTGATGTATCATTTCTTAATTTGATTGATACAAGCAGCGTTATCATTATTAATCGTTGTAAGGACATCGACGATGAAAGAAACCCCACAATTTCTTCGAATTTGCTCAACTATAGCTCTCAGCGAGAAGCATTCACATATAGCTTTGTTTATGATGAGAATTTCAATATGGTTTGAAAAATTCATAACTAAAGTCTATTTGGTTGACCTCCAAGATATTGCGGTATCTCCAACGGTAAAGACATAAACATTTGAGAACGTGCCTTGTTCGGGTTAGATAAGTAACATACCAAAAAAGCAAGCATCATTCCCAAGCCCAAGATGGTGTGATCTCTTTTGAGATGCATAGTGATAGAATAAACCCAAATCCAAAGTACCCTTAAGGTAACGAATGATATCTTTAACACCAGGTGTGTTGCTATATCTTGCTAGAAGATTAACATTGAAAGAGATGTCAGGTCTAGCACATTGAGTTAAGTACAATAAAACACCAATTACACTAAGGTATGGAACTTCATGCTTCAAAACCTCTTCCTCATCATCTTTAGGATGGAAAGGATCTCATTTTTCATCTAGCATTCAGGCAACCCTATGAGTACTCCAAGGCTTCGCTCTATCGTTAAAGCTTTCGCAACACCTTTTGGGTGTAGTTTGATTGTTGGACCAGATTACCTCTAAACAATGCTTAAGCTCCAATTCGAGACTGTTGTGAACATGTAAATTTTGGTGAAAATAAACGTTTGCTAACACATTAAATCTCGACATGTTAGGGCTTACGTGGCACACAACATGTGTCTCACAAATTGTACACATGGCATGTGACTCATAAAAAACTAGACAAGTCATCAAGAGGGACATGTGTCAATAATTGGTGGAAAGTAATTATTTGATTTTAATTTTAATTAATTAATTAATTAATTAATTTTAAGTCAAATCAAATATTAATTGATTGAGTCAAATCACGAACCAAGATACAAATCAAATCTTGGTTCTTTCGTAGGAAAAGCTTGGAGAGCCTATAAATGCAAGGCTCTAAGACAAAGAAAGTGTCCAGAAAAATCTTTCTCACATTCAGACACAAAATCTTTCTCACATTCAGACACTAAAGCTCTCAAGCCCCCCATACTCACAATTCCTAAACGACATAAAAAAGACTTAGAAAACTCTCTGCGTTCTTCATCAAACTCGTGAAGAATCATCAAGCACCACTACATGAAATGATTCTTGCATCGCCACAAGCCAAACCATTGTGGCATCCGTTCATCCGAGATTAAGTTATTACGACCCTTAGATCAATCACCCCCTACACACACTTTACATTCCAGACATCAAATCAAATGATTCAAACTGTAAACAGAGATTGTAACCCTACATTTACATTAATACTAAACATTTATTTTGTACACTTAGTGTTTTCCGTTTTATACATTCCCTTGAGACCTGAAGATTTTGTATCCCTGAATTGTGCATTATTCATCTTCACTCAGGGCAATAGCTAATTAGTTGTCCCCAAACGTATAGGTATGTCTTTCAATCCATGGGATCCAATCCGCTACCGGAGTTTGCCCCGCTGCACTCATACTTATGTAACAAGTAATCTAACCCTTTCTGAAGTAAAATTAATGCTTGTAAAATTTGTTCAACACAATCAGATTAAAGATCATCTGTTTTAGGCATCGTTAAATAGCGCTTACGGACATCTCATGACTCGATGTCTGTTACAATCACTAAACATTTTATCAAAATCCCGCATTGAACAAAGTCTTCCTTGTGCTAACTCTTAATCTTAGGTAATGAAGAAGAGAATGATGATAAAGGGGATAAAATAAGACAATTACTGTTGTAGTATTTGCAAACATGTGAAAAAAGGTTTTCTGCTGCATTTTTATTTCACAACAGAGCTATGACATCCCACCAAAGGAACCATGCAATAAGACAAAACAAACCAACTGGAGCCAGCTGCAGACGCAACTGTAGTTGAAAAATGAATCACCACACTTCAGGGCGGAGCTCGCCCGTTGCTGGGGGCATCCATTTTCCAGAGTTGTAGACACTCTCACCAACTTTCCAATTAGGCACATCCTTCATGACTTCAGCCTCATAGTCGAGATACTTTTTCCACTCTTTGACATATCTGAAGAAACAGAACAGACAGATAAGCGGATCCATTTACTTGGAATTCATGGAGATGAAGATTACGGGCATGATATGACTGGAAGGGGACAACCAATAATATAATCAGATTACCTTTCATCTTCTTCAGCTTGAAGCACCGGCAGTATTGCTCTGCGAGCAGCATACTTTTCTTCCTTGAGCGCCCTACATAGAGCCAAATTTTAAGCTTGTAATATACCATATATCAAGGAAATCCTCGACAAGAACAAATAGTTGGCTTTGCTTACCCAAATAATCAATTACTTGTTACTATGACAGGAAAATAGAGTAGGCTAGTGCCCCAACAAAACCAAGCATTCTCCTAAAGGTGTAAAATGAAATTTAAGTAAATCAATATTTCCATCTTCCACCCTAACCCCATCCCCGACCAAAAATTAAAGTCACGAGCATGAAATTTAAGAAAATATGTCCGAATAAAGATAATCAATGCTGTCCAAATAGTCACGAAGATAACCATATTTTAAATTATCATATGAAAAGTCAACATATACGAATCTCCTGGATCCCCCAAGTCCACGAAATGATTTTAATAGCCAGAAGACTTAGAAACTCATCCAAACATTTTCATCCCAAAGAACAAAGATCACCGTCTTATGATTATCAAAAATCTAAGAGGGCACATATCCAATGGAAGCATCCAATTTTGACAGACATAATTTAATTTATAATAGCTTTTCACATCTTGTGGAGAAAGCCTCATGCAATGTATTCAAAATAGACACACATGACAACCTAGTGGAGTAACCTAGCCAAATGTTTGACTTGAAGAAAACCTTCCAATAAGCAAGGACTATAAATGCTGAGGAAGCTGCAGGGAAAAGTGGATGGAAGAACTCACCAAGAATACCTGCCAATTGGCTCCAAGGATCAAAACTGACAATGCAAATTAAATGGTAACATGTAACAAGTAAGAAACAACATGAAAAGGCACGAGAATTTCCACCTTCTGGATTTGTTACGGCATCGACCACAAACATCCTTATTCACATATGAAAAAACATAGACTGAAAAGCCTAGTCTATATAGCACAAACAAAAAAAAACTTGAAACTAACCATTCGTGGTAGATTTACTTCTTGAGTAAATAAAGAAGTGAAAAGTAGAGGCTTTTAACTCTGCATTGACTTCCTTCTCATTCTTAGCACTAAACAAGTGGAGTGAAAACCATCATCTTCCATTCTTTTATTTTTTGGTTTTATTTGAACACACAGAAAAACACACACAAAATGAAACTAAGGAGAAACCTCTACTCTGATTCTTCGTCTTAGTTGAACACTTATCCTGCAGACAATTTCAACATGCCTCCAAGTTTATTTCTTTTCGGGTCTTATGATACACTAGATCAATCCATATTCTGATTATGCAAGCTAAGTTAGCACACCCATCAGCACTGCACCAATAAGCATAGATTGGGGATAGGATGGTTACTAGAGTTGGGATGGCTGGTTATGGCTCCAATCTGGTGACTGGTGGGTGCAAGGAGATGTGGGAGGAGGAGGGGCAGCAGATCACAAACACCTGTGCAAACAAGGCAAGGGAGAGGATTAAGGGGCAGATGGAGTGGGGATGATTATACGGAAAAAGGGAGCAGAGGGTCTAAGAACGCCGTTACTGATAAGTTATTAACTTAATACTCTCCAGCTGTTACTCGCACCCACACCTCTATTTGTTAATAGTGTGGATACCATCCAGAGTGGCATCCAGATAAAATAGGCAATGCTAAGTAAAATCATTCCAAATATGGAATTCAAGCTATCCGATACCATTCTTAGTTGTTAACATTGTCTTACAGTCCGCAAAATGAGCCCCTTAGCAAATTATGAATGTATTGGCGTCTATTTTCTAGTATCAAACGGACTACCCTAGTAGTCGAGCATAGAACCAAAACTCTCGGACCATGTGCTTACCACACGGCTACACCTGAATTCTTCCCCTTTACCCCTTCATCCAAAATGCTCTTTTTACTTGATTCTCAGATCAACCCAAATTAACCGTAATCTATACACCATCCTGCATATCATCTAACTATTCACATTTCCTCAACAATGAAGAATTAACAGTTTGCATATTATGCATACAAAAATTGATAAATAGGAATTAAAACCCCAGAAATTGTAATCTAAACATCGGAAATTACAGTAATTTATCAAACAAAAAACACGAATCCTGTAACAATTGCAAAAAAATTCAATGAAACGAAAAGGAAAAGTAAAAAAAATTAAAACAAAACCCATACAATCAAATTTAAAAATAAATGTGAAAAAGAAAAAAAGCTCAGACCTGCGGATCTTGTTGCCCTTTCCGACTTGGTACATGCCCCAAGAGAAGGTGCCGAAGGCGGCGAGGAATATGGCCACTGAGCTGGGACCCTTGTTGGGGATCCGGCGAGCGTACCGGACCGGAGCGAATCCACCCGGCGGCGGACCGTCCTGGAGAACCGGCATGTCCTTCACGCTCGCCATACCCGGCTTATTTCTTATCACTGCCTCTGTCATTTTCGGAGCTGCTTTTGCGTTTCACTGATTCAGAATCTCAGCCGAGTCTTGTTGGTTGTGCTGTTTCGGGAAGATTGAAGGGGAAACAAAGTGAGGGGGGTAGTCTGCGGTGATGGTGCTGCCTTGAATCGATGCAAGAGAAACTTCAATAGCTATGGATTTTCACATTTAGCCCTAATATGTGAAGTTTTAATTTGGTATCGGTATTGGATTTTCTGTTCACGACATTCGAACATAACATCTCTTATTTTCAGGTAAAATTTTATATTTTTTTTTTTCAAACAATAGGTTTTGTTAGATTAAATGTTAGATTAGTCATCGATAAGATTTGAACTCATACCGTTATGCAAGACCTCAACATATTTCTACTACTGTATTTTGTATATGTGTGGTCATCCATTCGATTAAAGACTAGTTTGGTATAGCAATGTTTTTGTTTAGACCCAATATTAAATCATCGGTACATGCAATCGAAGTAAGATAATTTTTTTAATTATTATTGAGGGGTAATATTGTGATTTTAAATCATAATTATTTCTTACTAGTGTATTGAATTATCTTGGTATTTTCTTATACAAGATAAATGAGATGCAACCTATATTTCCAATTTACAAGGAAGTAATACAATTCAAATTGATCTGGGATTCTTACAGGCATTGTGTGAAACGTGTAAGGCAATTGCCTGGCAAACAGGTTATGTCTGTCGTGTACATGTCGTTTTCGTATAACATCTGTTATCTTAACGAGTCATATCGTGTCACATCCGTTATCTTAACGGGTCCTTAACAGGTCGCGTCACTTTACCCAATAAGTAAAGTGACCCGACCCGTTATGACCTGTTAAGAAAAATATTTTTTTTTCTTAAATTTTCACATACCACACATTGCTACATAAATATTACTTCAAAACATTAAAACACATTTGTCGTTTAAGTACTACATCTACATTCGAAAATAAGAGACTAATAAACAAACATTCATACACTATTAGTCTATTACAAAATATTAAATGTGCAAGGATATACAAAATGAAAGAGTTTTTGTTTTCAAGGTTGTGAACCCTTTCTCAAAAGTTTAAACATTGCCAATGGAACTCAAAGCTTGCATGTTATTCATTTCACAAAATCCTCAATTTTCACCAATCATCATGACATAACATTTTGTGGTATCCACTAGTGTAAATATTTTAAATTGAAGATCGAATTCATTCATTGTATTCATATAGGATCAAGTAGTGTAGCTGTAAAAAATCATCAAAATCGGAGTTAAAGAAATCGTTAAATCGTGATTTTTCGTTGATAATCGTCAAAAAGTTTTGTCCCGTTACTTGATCTCTGAATGTTTTTTTTTTTTGCGATTTTTGGCGTATGCGATCTTGAAGAATATATAAACAAGTTTGACATTTGGATAGTTGAAATTAGTTTCGTACAATGCGTATCTCATCAACACGATATATTCACTAACACTTGGAGTTTATTTATACTTTCATGAAGTATAACATAAGATTTTGTGGTATTCACTAGTGTAAATATTTTAAATTAAAAATTGAATTCATTCATTGTATTCATAGAGGGTCAAAGAGTGTAGCTATAAAAAATCATCAAAATCAAAGTTAAAAGAACCATTAAATCGTGATTTTTCGTTGATAACCGTCGAAAAGTTTTGTCTCGTTACTTGATCTCTGAATGTTTGTTTTTTGCAATTTTTGGCATATACGATCTTGAAGTATAATCAAACATGTTTGACGGTTGAATCGTTGAAACTAGTTTCGTAGAATGTGTATCCCATCAAAACAATAGATTCACTAACACTTAAGAGTTTATTCATACTTTCATTAAGTATAACATAAGATTTTGTGATATCCACTAGTGTAAATATTTTAAATTGAAGATCGAGTTCACTGATTGTATTCATATAGGGTCAAGGAGTGTAGCTATAAAAAAATCATCAAAATTGGAGTTAAAATAACCGTTAAATAGTGATTTTTCGTTGATAACCGTCGAAAAGTTTTGTCCCCTTACTTGATCTCTGAATGTTTGTTTTTCGCGATTTTTAGCGCATATGATCTCGAAGCATATACAAACAAGTTTGACGGTTAGATCATTAAAATTAGTGTCGTAGAATGCGTATCCCATCAAAACGATAGATTCACTAACATTTAAGAGTTTATTCATACTTTCATTAAGTATAACATAAGATTTGTGGTATCCACTAGTGTAAATATGTTAAATTGAATATCGAGTTCATTCATTGTATTCATATAGGGTCAAGGAGTGTAGCTGTAAAAAATTATCAAAATCGGAGTTAAAATAACTGTTAAATAGTGATTTTTCATTGATAACTGTCGAAAATTTTTGTCTCGTTACTTGATCTCTTAATGTTTGTTTTTTACAATTTTTGGCGTATGCAATCTCGAAGTATATACAAACATGTTTGACGGTTGGATCGTTGAAACTAGTTTCGTAGAATGCGTATCCCATCAAAACAATAGATTCACTAACACTTAAAAGTTTATTCATACTTTCATTAAGTATAACATAAGATTTTGTGGTATAATGTAAATATTTTAAATTGAAGATCAAGTTCATTCATTGTATTCCTATAGGGTCAAGGAGTGTAGTTGTAAAAAATCATCAAAATCGAAGTTAAAATAACCGTTAAATTGAGATTTTTCGTTGATAACCGTCGAAACGTTTTGTCCCTTTACTTGATCTTTGAATGTTTGTTTTTTGCGATTATTGGTGTATACGATCTTGAAGAATATACAAACAAGTTTGACGGTTAGATCGTTAAAATTAGTTTCGTAGAATGCGTATCCCATCAAAACGATAGATTCACTAACACTTAAAAGTTTATTCATACTTTCATTAAGTATAACATAAGATTTTGTAATATCTACTAGTGTAAATATTTAAAATTGAAGATTGAATTCATTAATTGTATTCATATAGGGTCAAAGAGTGTAGCTGTAAAAAATTATCAAAATCAGAGTTAAAATAACCGTTAAATTGTGATTTTCGTTCATAACCGTTGAAAAGTTTTGTCTCGTTACTTGATCTCTGATTGTTTGTTTTTTGCAACTTTTGGCGTATACGATCTTAAAGCATATACAAACAAGTTTGATGGTTGGATAGTTGAAATTAGTTTCGTAGAATGTGTATCCCATCAAAACGGTAGATTTACTAACACTTCGAGTTTATTTATACTTTCATTAAGTATAACATAAGATTTTGTGGTATCCACTGGTGTAAATATTTTAAATTGAAGATTGAATTCATTCATTGTATTCATATAGCGTCAAGGAGTGTAAGTATAAAAAATCATCAAAATTAGAGTTAAAATAACTGTTAAATCGTGATTTTTCGTTGATAACCATCGAAAAGTTTTGTCCCGTTACTTGATCTCTAAATGTTTTTTTTTTGCAATTTTTGGCATATGCGATCTTGAAGTATATACAAACATGTTTGATGGTTGGATCGTTGAAACTAGTTTTGTAGAATGCGTATCCTATCAAAACAATAGATTCACTACAACGTAAGAGTTTATTCATATTTTCATTAAGTATAACATAAGATTTTGTGGTATCCACTAGTGCAAATATTTTAAATTGAAGATCGAGTTCATTCATTGTATACATATAGGGTCAATGAGTGTAGCTGTAAAAAATCATCAAAATCGGAGTTAAAATAACCGTTAAATCGTGATTTTTCGTTGATAACCGTCGAAAAGTTTTGTCCTGTTACTTGATCTATGAATGTTTGTTTTTTGCGATTTTTTGCTAATATGATCTCAAAGCGTGTACAAACAATTTTGATGGTTGGATCGTTAAAATTAGTTTAGTAGAATTTGTATCCCATCAAGTTCAATGGTATATATATATTTATTAAGTAGATTTAAATTTATTTATTTTTTAAATATAACACTTAAGAAATTGAATGGTATGTAAATTTAAGCTGATCCAATGGTCACCAATTTTTAATATTTAATTTAATATATAATTATATATATAATTATTATAGTTTTTAGGGGTATAAAATTGTTAAATTAATATATATAATTTTTATAGTATTTTTTAGGGTTATAAAATTATAAAATTAATATTTTGTTTATCGTGTATCGTGTTACCCACGTGTATATCCGAACCAACCCGTTATCTTAACAGGTGCTTATCGGGTTACCCGATAATGACCTGATTCGTTATCGTATCGACCTGAACACTTGTTAATTTTGTGTCGTGTCGTGTCAGGTTATCGGATCGTGTCAGGAATTGCCAGGCCTACTTCGATCTGAAGGATGACAATGATTCGAAGATATCTTTCGATATGAAGGACAATAACGATTTGAACTAAAGGATAACAACGATTCGAAGCCTTCGGTATGAAGGACGGCAACGATTCGAAGCCTTCGATCCGAAGGATAGCAACGATTTGAAGCCTTCAACTGAAAGTCGCCAGGCTTCTATCAGAAGGATGACAACAATTCGAAGCCTACGGCTGAAAGTCGCCAGGCTTCGATCAAAAGGATGGCAACAATTCGAACCCAACGGTCATGAAGGTTAGATGCGACATGAAGAATAGCGATGGAGAAAGCTTGGGGAGAAAGAGGAGACAAGATCTTAAGGGTTCAAATTCAAAGCTTGGCCAATTGAAGGAGAAATTTTTAATTGTGATGGGAACATAAGTGGTACACCACGTGTTTTAATAGAAATTGTGGAAAATTTCATTTTTAAGTTATTAACTTTTTAGCACATATATCTCACAATTTGTATAATGATATGTGATGTATCATCTCATGTACTGGTCATACTGAAAAATCTCTCCAATTGAAGGAAGACTAGGTTGTCGGTTGTCCTAGAGGTACCCTGCAGGGGAAAAACGAGAGAATAGGAAAGAGAGAGAATGTTAGGGACAAAGATTGTCATTTTGTAAAAATGACGAGGTTGTTATTGGAGTTTTGAAAGTTTCACTAAACCTTCACTATTGCTTCATATATTTAACATACTACTTAGTACTACGGTCTAGTGGTATTCTTCTTAACTTGGAAGTGAGAGATCTTAGGTTCGAATCTCGTGAATGACTAATTCGATACCAAATTAGGCTGCTCATTGTGTCATGAACTCCCATTCCCTTAGTGTAAAAATATCAATGTACTTAAAAATAAAAAATAAAAAATAAAAAAAAACCTTTAACATAAAAAATTATAAAATAAAGG